ACAGACCTGTTTTCTCTGAAGTTTCAGAACTGTGGTAGGAAGCGACTTGCTTGGTTGTGCTGGCGGCAGGTGTCAGTACATTAGCACTGGTCTCCGTGTAATCAGCCATGTCTCCTCCCGTGTCTCCCTTGGTGTCTCTGCTTCTGCAGAAACCTCTCTGTGTGGACTGTCTCGCCCGCAGGAGTTTCCAGGCAGCGGCTCTATACTTCTTTGAAATGAGGTTGTAGAGGATTGGGTTGATGGATGCACTTAGATAGAAAAGTTGCAACGCAACAATGTTAAAGTACTGAGAGAAATACATCATCTGGGAGTCTTCTGTATTTATGTAAATGATCCTGCCAACGTGGAAAGGCAACCAGCAAACTATAAATGCCAGAACCACCACCACTGTAAAACAAGACACCAGACCAGAATTAGCTAAAGCACCGGAAAACAAATCCACCAGAAGCAGTAACAGCAAAACAAATTAGATAAAACTTTGACTTAGCCAAATCCTCACCCCAGAAAACTACCATGCTTCAGACAGCATCGATATTTGCTTTAAAGCGGCATATTTGGCTCATATATGTGTTTTCAGGGCTGGACATAAAGCAGAAGGAACAAGCTGTTCTGGCAGGCTTTCTTCCACACAGCCACTTCAGAGGCATGTTCTCTACTTTCCCTTGAAAAGAATTCTGCAACGGGTCTGCATAGCCTTTTTTTTTTTTTTTTGTATGGGCATGGTTCACTTTAACCTTCAGAATAACTTAACATTAAGTATAGAAATTTTAGCTTAATGTGATCTACCCTGTCTTCTCTAGAATCCTCTGAGAGTCCACAATCGCAGCATCTAACGGAGACAGGCAGTTGGCTTAAAAGCCTCCAATTACCCGTCCTGGATCAGCCCGGCTCACGGATCCCAGTAGCTCTGGAATATCACTGCTGTTTAGGGGACCCGGGTATCCCACCCTCAGGGGCGCCCTTGGGGACGTCGCTAGAGGAGGCTCCAAGGCCTGGGAGCTAGAGGGTTGGCGTATTTGGAACAGAGGTAGAGCCACTTACGCAGGACGCGGACCGTCTGCCGGTGGCCCTTCTCGCGCCCCGAGGTGGCCGGGCCTCGCAGCGGTCCCCGGCTCCTCCACAGCTCCCTCCCGATGAGCCCGTAGAGGACGCTGAGGCACAGGAAGGGCACGAAGAAGTAGGCGGTGGTGACCCACAGCATGACGCGCAGCACACCCAGCTGCGTAGGACTCGGCCGGCACTCGCGGCTGAACAGCGCTGCGGCCGCTGCCGCCTCGCGCCGGGACGGCGGGGACAGGGGTGGCGCCCGCGAGGACCCGAGGAGCGACGGCGGCAGCGGCCGCGAAGCGCCGGCCGGTGGAGTGAGCTGCGCGGAGCGGTTAAGGTCCGGGAGCGCGTCGACACCGGGGTCTTCCTCGACAACGGGGTCCTGCACGACACCCACCAGAAAGAAGAAGGGCCCGGCAGAGAGCAGCGCCACCGCCCAGAGCGCGGCGATGAGCGCGCGAACGCGGCGCCGGGTGACCAGGACGCGCGCGCGGAGCGGGCGGCAGATGGCGAGGTAGCGCTCGACGCTGAGCGCCGTCATGTGCAGCAGCGTGGCGTAGGTGCAGCCCTCGCCCACGAAGAGCGAGAGGCGGCAGAGCAGCGGCCCGAACACCCAGGGCCGCGAGCGCCAGAGGCGGTACAGGTCGAAGGGCAGCCCGAGCAGGATGAGCAGGTCGGACACGGCCATGCTGCCCAGGTACAGGTTGGTGGTGGTCCGCATGTCCCGGTAGCGCCCAATCAGCAGCACCGTCACCACGTTGCCGCTCACGCCGACGGCGAACAGCCCCAGGCACACGGCGGTCACCGGCACCAGCGCCCCCAGGGGGAAGGGCGAGCAGCGGCGCTCGTCGCACGGCAGAAGCGCGGTCCAGGGCGGCTCCCGTGCGCCTTCCGCGCCGTCGCTGCTGTTCCAGGGGCTGCCCATGGGCGCGCCACGTTCGGGGTTCCCTGGCGCCGCTGCGCCCCGGGGAGGGGGTCGGGAGCCTAGCGCATGGCTGGGCGGATGAAGCGCTTGCTTTGGCAGCCCGTGGGTCGCGCGCGCACCCAGCCCCTACCCACACTGCCGAGCTGAGGCGACGCTGCCCGAGCCCCGCCGCGCGGGAACGCAGTTCTGCAGGGTCCGCTTCGAGGCGCTCCCCACCAGGAGCGCGCAGTCTCCGCCCCCGGACACCGCCCGACCCACTCCTGCACCCTCGCTTAGGGCTGTCGTTTTCCAGGGCGCTTCCATCTCCAACTGGAATAAGGCGGGCGGCCGCCTCGCACCAGCCCCGCCCCGTCTCGGGAAGCGATTTCTGAACCCCAGTGAGATAGGTTACTGCATCCTGCGGAGGGCCGGCGCTTTTGTCGGTCGGGTACAGAGGGGACCTTCTAAGAACCCTCAGCTAGTGGTGGCTGCGTCCTGACGGTTCGGGAAACCTGCCGCAATACTAGAGTAGAAGCGGAGTCTAGAGCAGACTCTGGAGTACCTCCCGGGTTCTGGTCGTGGCTGTACAGCTGAGTAATCTCGAGTCAGTCCCCAGCCTCACCCAGCCCGGTTCGCCTCTCCTGTAAATTCGCGAGTGGCAGTGGAGGGAGATGACCAAATAATTTCAACTGTCTCTTGTAACTCTGAAATCTATGGGCATGACCATGTATACTCATCTTAAAGAACAAGGCTTAAGTACTTAGTGCACGTTTGAGTACTTCAACATGTGCTATATTGTTCCCATGTACAAAACATTTTATACACTTAAAGAGCAGAGCATTTGCCAACACCAGAAAGAACAAATTCTGGGGGCAAGACTAAAACTGATTTTTGAGTCAATTCGTTGTGGTCTTAATGACAAGAGCACTCAGGATGTGTTGTTTGGCCCTGTGCTTTCCATTTAATCCTCATGTCCTTAAGAACTCATTTTCCCTGTGAGCAAAATGGAGCTCCCCTGAGTTCACACAGCCAGCAAGAGGCAGGACTGGCATTTGAACTCTAGTCAGCCAGGTTCCAGAGTCTGCAGGCCCTATGATGTCCGGCCACACTGCCCCACTGTGCCCCCTCAGCGTTCTGGCTCTGCAGTTCTCACTCAAAGCACCACAGAATGCTCTAGAACTTTTCTGGAAGTTCTTTATCTCTTTGTGTACATGAACACCTCTAGCAGTTTCCTCACCCAGCCTACTGTGGTTTCAGTCTTCAACTTCTTTCCCCAAAGTTCCCTTCTCCTTTCTGGAACTGAAACCTGCCTTTGCCCTGGGGACATGCTTCCCTGAAGTCCTCTCACTACTGGAGCTTGCAGGAGGGGTACCTGTCCCAGCTATCCTAAAAGCTATCCTCGAATCTAACTTCTGAAGACTCTGCCCTCTCCAGCTCCTTCCCCGTCACTCACCCTCATCCCCTGATGAGGCACTCTCAGGCACTCCCCCGGGTAAAATTCACACCTGCATGCAGGAGTCTTGCAATGCCTCAGTCTCTCTTTTCTGTCAGTGACCTTGTCCTCCACCCCATCTCAGGCAGCGTCTCCTGTGGACATCCCTTACACCTTATATGACCGGGACCTGGGAGTCCTCCTCCATCTCTTTCAGGTCTCCCAGTTTCTGACCTCCAGTGCTCATCTTTCTAGCTAATTTTCTCTAATACCTCAACTCTTACAATCCTTCAACCACACTGGGACCTTCAGTCGCTTGCTCTTCCTCCCTTTTCCTTATCCCTCACTTTACCCAATTTAAACTCCACGAGTGATCCCGATCACTTCCAGGCAAACACCCTCGGCTCTCGTGCCTTCTCTGTTGTCATCATACTTGTCTCCTGGACCAGCACACAATCACAACCCTGGCTAAACAGAATTCTTTTAGCTCCCAAATAACTTGTTTCATTTGAAATTCACAACCCCTAGAATGGCACTTACTTTTCCCTGGCCACTCTCATACTTATCCTATTGTATCCACTTTGCCACCCTCCAGGCCACTCTTTTGTACAATCTCTGTCTTCAACCCCCAGTACCTCTTCCCTCATCCTCACTCTCAGTGACCCTGCACTCTGATTCTCAGAAAGAGAAGCAATCAGAAGAGAAACTCCACATGTTCTCACCACCACATCCACTCACCACCCCTTATTCCCCATCCCCACACACATGAATGGCTGCGTGGTGCCTGTACCCAAAGCCAGCTCTGCCCCTTCAGTACTTCATTTGGCTCCTCAAGGCTATCACCCTTGCAATTTTCTCTGTCCCTTGCATCATCAAATTTTCTCCTTCTGGTTCGTTTCCATATTTTCAGCAAAACTCCTCAAAAGGGTTTTTGTAATCACTGTCTCCACTTTTTCTTCCTCTCTCCTCCCCTAAGCAGAGAAAATGTAATTTCTTCATCTATAGTTGATCTAATCTTATCTTGAGCTCTTGCTGAGTAGTAAGAGAAAATTCATTATCTAGCCCAAGTAAAGTATAGTCCAGTTGGATGAATTAAACAATCTCCCTAAGTCAGTGGTCCCCAACCTTTTAGCACCAGGGTCGGATACTCCTGTGAGAATCTAATGCCTGACGATCTGAGGCGGAGCTGAGGCGGTGATGCTAGCGCTGGGGAGCAGCTGCAAATACAGATGAAGCTTTGCTCACCCACCCACTGCTCACCTCCTGCTGTGAGGCCTGGTTCCTAACAAGCCACGGACCGGTACTGATCTGTGGCTCGGGGTTTGGGGCCCCCTACCCTGGGTGGTATGCAGTTCTCTTGGGTAACATGCATAGCCTCTCCCACTGCCTCCTCTCACTTCCCCGCTTTTACCTTAGGGGGCTAAGGTATATAAGACGGGGATGTCCAGTGACTCAAAAGTCCTTATGAAACCAGAAGGGAGGGGGCATCCAGCTTTGTGCTGGTTCCTGGGGTGCCCGGGCTGGCATTTGCTAGACTCTAGTTCAGTGTCACCTTCCTGCCTGGCCGTCAGGTGCTCTGTTAACCCCAGAGGCAGAGGTATTTAGATAGTGAATTTGTGGTCCCTTTCTTTGACACAGTGATGCTCCTGGGGACTCCCTGACACCTTCCCCTCCACCCTGGCTCTCATAGGCTGTCGCCCCGAGTCTCTTTCTTTTTTTCCATTCCGCTCCATGGCTCGGTGGTCACCCCAGCCTCTCACTCCTTTCCTCACCCACCATGGCCGCTCTGAGAAGGGCTAAGTGGGTCTCAAATTGGTGCCTGTGTCACGCAGGCTCACCATGCCAGCTACACCCTCTCCGACTGTTCTGTGCTGCTCACCCTCCATTCAGACCTCACTTCTCTGTTGCATTCTCTCCTTACAGCTTATTACCAACTGACCTACTACTGTTTAGTTTTCTTAGCTATGTGTTTTCTGTCCCGCTTCATCTCCCAACATCGTGTGCTCTGAAAGGCAGGGCTTTAATCTGTTGTGTTCTGTGCTCTTTTTCTATTGTACCTGGTACAAAATGAGAATATTTTGTTAACTCAGGGAACAAATAAACTTCTGTTCTTTACAATTCCCAGCAGTTGAGAACGGTGCTCTGTTCCAGTGGGTGCTCAGTAAGTGTTCACTGGTAATCTAGTTCGAGATGGAATACAGATATGGAGAGATGGATGCACAACAGGCTTTTTCTACATCATTGGTATGTTGTGGCTCAAGTATGACTTGGCCCATAAGGCAGATTATTATAATGATGCGGCATTCCATATTTTAGAAAGGAATGAGACCAGATATCTGGAGAATGACTAAATCTGCTTTCTGCTTTGTAGTTCTAAGGTCCTCCACCAGCTTGCTGACTTCATACTTCATCTGATAAGAGGAAGAGGACATTCTCAGTAGGCCAGGTATGTGGACACCTGCCTTCTCTACCCTGTGAGTATTGCTCCACCTTGTGTGGAGTGAGTCTAGATCTGGCCCAGCTATGGCTGTGTCCCTGGAAGTTAGAGGTTGGTGTCACCAATAAGCTGGCGGCCCCAGCTGGATGCCTCACAAGTTGGCTTTGGGAAGGCTGGGATGTCTTGAATAAAAATAAAGCGAATGATTGCTCTGTGCAAGGCACCGTTACAAGCACTTGCATATATTAACTTGTTTAAGCTTCAGCAGCAGTGTTAGGATGTGAGTCCTTTCAGCACATCCATTTTACAGAGGAGAACACTGAAGTACAGAGAAGCTACCTCAGGTCATACCTCTAGCAAGTGGAAGTGCTGTCTGCTTCTCCAGTCTGTGCGACTGGAGTCTTTTATCTTTATTCCGAAAAGTAGATTTTGTGGAGAAATGGAAGGATATGGAAGGAGCATTAGGATATATCCATAACGTGCAATGTACCTGTTGAAACTTGTACAAACTCCGCAGGTTTTACACTCTGTGAGGCAGAGGTTGAAAAGTGAACGTGCACAGCAATTGAGATACATTTCATAGCCTTTGAGCCAACCTTTTACAGTTGTGAAATTTCACACAGAGTTCCAGATTTTCAGCTAGTCTTTCAAAATGAGAAGATCTGGCCTCTCTGGGCCCACGTTCCCCAAGGTGGTGGCAATCCCAGCTGAGAAGCAGGTGCCACCTTTAAATAGACACCCACTCTGCTTGCCCCCCACAGCCATCATTCCTCACACAGTGGTTGCGTGGCCTTCACAGCCAGTCTCTTCCTCATTTGCAAGATTCACTGGCTCCTCTAGAGCCCAGGTGCCAGGAAATGCTTCTAATATAATAATATGCAGGATGGCGGAGCTGGCCCCAGAAGGGGAAGTCCTGGCAGAGAAGACCAAGAGCCAGCTCTATCCGAACCTCACCTCCACGACCTGACTGCTGCCCTGGCCTGGGGCCTCAGGCCTCCCCAGGTTTCTCTTGCACAGCAGGGAGGGACATGGCGGAGCGAATCCAGGCAAGCTTTTGTGAGCTGTACAGATTCCAGTTACTCTGCAACTGTTTTTTTTTTAGCAATTTTTTCTAGGTCCCAGTTTCTCCTGATAGGGAGAGAGGAGGTCTAC